AGGCGCCCTTGTCTGCTTTTGCTTCGTCTCTCCCTCACATCCCATCTCCCTTGCTCTCTGGCGCAAAGCCGCAGCCGGCACCAGTCATGCGAGCCTCTCTCCTCTGCCTCGCCTTGTTGCCTTTGGCCCTCGCCTCGCCCGTGGCTCGGCACGCAGGCGCCAACATCAGCGCGCTGGCGCTCCACGCTCCCAGCCAGGGCACGGCACCCGAACATGGCGCCCGCGGCTCGCACGGCGCCGTGGCGTCGGAGGTGGATGTGTGCTCCAACGTCGGCGTCGACATGCTGGCCCTTGGCGGCAGTGCAGCTGATGCCGTGAGTTGCGAGTTGTTGCTTGTGCTTGCTTGCGACTTGCCCAGTTTTTACTCTTGCGCCCCTGCTACTTGCAGCGCCTCGCCTACGCCAAGTGACGGCACCGCTGACTCTCTCTTTCTGGCGCCGGCGACACACCGACAACAGATCATCGCAGCCTCTCTCTGCGTCGGCGTCATCGGCGCCTTTCACTCGGGCCTGGGCGGCGGAGGCTTTGCCTTGGTGCGCACCGCCTTCAACAAGTATGAGAGCTACGACTTTCGCGAGACGATGCCGGCGCTCGGCAACGCTACGGTGAGTGTTGCGCTGCATGAGGGTGGGGGTACGTGCGAGAGACACGGGGGCTGATGCAAAATGGGGAAATCAAACCCCACACACACACCATCAGATGTACGGAGACACTAACAAGTCTAGCACCGTCGGGTAAGCCATGCTCTTTCTTCTCTTCACTCTTTACTTGTTGCTCACATGCTCTCCCCCCCTTCAAAAGTGGACTCTCCGTCGGCGTGCCCGGCGAAGTACGAGCCTGGCAGTTGCTGCACGCCGAGCACGGGCGTCTGCCATGGGCGAAGCTGTTCGAGCCTGCCATCTCCATTGCCCGCAACGGCTTCAAGGTGCCCAACCAGCTCGCCATCGCCATTGCCCAGTATACGTCCGGCGCAAACGCCTTCATCTGCACGTCGGACATCTGGAAGGATCGCTACTGCCCCAATGGCGGTGCGTGTGCTCCTTCTCCCCCCCCCC